TCAAGGTTCAATTTTATCCTCCTTGCTATTTAACATCTACATGAAACTGCTGAGTGAGATTTAGAGTACGTTGTCAGCAATGAGCTGATGACACACAACAATTTCTCCTTTACATCTGCAGGTGAGGCAGTGGATGGACAGGACCATTGTCTTGCCTCGGTCATGGACTGAAGCTCAATCCAGGTAAGACCAAGGCATGGTCAGTGGGCAGCTCCCTAGACTCTTGATGGAATTACACTCCCTGGGAAGGAGCGGTTGCATAGCTTGGGGGTACTCCTGGATCCTTTGCTTTCGCTGGAGGCTCAGGTGGCCTCAGTGGCGTGGAGCGCCTTCCATCAGTTTTGGCTGTTGACCCAGCTGCACCTCTATCTGAACAGGGATGACCTAACTTCTGTTGTCTATGTTCTGGTAACCTCTAGGCTGGATCACTGCGATGTGTTATATGTAGGGCTGCCTCTGAGGATGGGTTGGAAACTTCAGAATTTGGCGTCCAGGCTGCTCACTGGGGCAGGATGGTTTGAGCACATTGCGCCAATTCTGGCCTGACAGCACTGGCTGCCGATTAATTTCCAGGACCGATTCAAAGTACTGGTTTTGACCTACAAAGCCTTAAATGACTCAGGACCACAATGCCTCAAGGACCACCTCTCCCTATCTGAACCACCCTGGACCCTGCAATCATCATCTGAGGCCGTTCTTTGTGTGTCTCCTCCATGAGAGGTCCAGGGGGTAGCAACATGAGAATAGGCCTTTTCTGCAGTGGCTCCGAGTTTGTGGAATGCTCTCCCCAGGGATGCTCGTCTGGCACCTTCATTATACCTCTAAGGGCAGCAGGTGTTCTCTTCTACCAAGCCTTTGGCTGATTAACAATTCTATGTCCTTTAAAACGTGTTTTTGGGAGGGGGTGTTATTGGTTTTCTCTTTTTCTGTTCTTGTTTTTATTACGTATTTTGTGTTTTCATTTGGTATTTTTATGCTGTGAGCCACCCTGAGATCTTTGGACGAAGGGCGATATACAAATTTAAACAAATAAATCCCATATCTTCATGGAGCAAGATTCAGCTCTGATACTATAGAAGAATTTCCCCCCATCTGTTCCTGTAAGCAATTAAGTGGGCTGCAATAATAGTTCTGTTCAGTGAAACTTTCCAGGAGGGACAATCGCTAGGTGACTATGGATTTCTTTATTCTTACTTTTTAAAAAAATTAATAATAGTGCTTATATTATTGATATGCTTTCAGTTTAATTCTATTTATTCTATTCTTAGCCACTTTAGATATATAAAAAGGCATTCCTGAAAACTTTTAAAGGACAGTAAAAATTCAGGTCAGCTATTAAAAAAACATTTTCCTCCACAAAGGGTATGAACCAGTCATTGAGAGGACAATTAACAGAGCAATCCTAACTTACCTTTACACCAGAATTGGGGAAGAGGGAAAGAGTGATCAGCTGGTACAATGGGAGCCAGATCCACTGCTCGGCTATTTCATAGTAGCCAGAGCAGGAGGTGGGGGACAAGAGATTTCATCCCCCTGCCAGGGGCTGCAATAGGAGGGTATTAACTTTGGCCACCCCATGACAGGCATTCAGTTTCAGTGCTTCTGTGGGCATGTGAGGGAAACAAAGAGTCTATGGTTCTGGTGTATCCACAGCCAGCCCCGATAAGCCCCCTTCTTACCTCCTCCACCCAACATCACTGGTGGAAGGTCTAAGCCAGTGGAGATCTAAGTGTCTTCTCACTGGTACACCTCCATCTCCATCACAGCAGCACTCCCAGGGACAAAGGATTGCTCCATTAAGATGCTAAATCCCTCTTCTACAGCAGTGGCCCCTCCCTCTCCCCCCACATTTTGTAAGTGGGTGCATTTCAGATAAGTGACAGGTTCTGCAAGACTGCCACTGTAGTGGCAACTGCAAAGGGAAGAGACAGTTTAATTCCTCACTGTAATTGTCTCCTTCGCTTTGTGACACCAATTCATTTCACTGGTTGCAATGCATAGCTCATCGCTTCTATTGTGAGACAAGAAATGTGTCTCAAGTCTCCAGGAGTTCATAAAATGCAAGCTATTCAAAGCACACTAAGGCTGATGTGTATACAGTACAGTGATTTACTGCATTTTTAAAGCTAAAAATGCAGGATATGCTAAATTCCAGGAATAACACAGAGCAAGACAATGGTCTTCAGCTATAAAGAATGGGAATGGGCATCTGTATGAAATGGCTAGGAGCTGCTATCAAGGTTCCAGCAATATGTGAATGACATCCTGCTCTTTCTCTTTATTGCCTGCATTGTAGGGGGTTGGGCTAGAATGCCCTGGGAATCACTTCCGGCTGTACGATTCTATGATTCTATATTTACCAAGTTAAGGAAATCATCTATGCCTCATTTCTGTAGGTTTAAATTGGGTGAGCAGAGTTAAGGACTGAAAGTTGCAATGAAGCACAAGCTGCTCAACACAAGACCTTCTTGTTAAAGATACAGGGAAATGTGAAATATTCCAAAGTATCACTAGGGGGCATAAGGCCTCGTTCCTTAAATCGGCCCAGTACAATCCAAGACACAACAAACTTTCCTTTTTCATAAACTATTTTACGTTTCCATCCTAAATCAGACAGAAAGGTGGGATTTAAGACTTTCATTATGTGAAAAAATCCAGAATACCTGCAATCCAGAAAATAGTTTTCCCTTTTTACATTCCTTCACTTACAGCACAATCCTATGCAGCCTTGTTCACAGGGAAGCACGCATAGGATTGCAAGTTTCAGTGTCTGACCTGTACTGCACTGCACTGACAAAGCACTCTCTGCATCTTTTCAAACCCATAATCTGAGAATCAAAATCCAGCACAGATTACTGTGGCAAGGCAGCTATTCAAAACTAGTCCAGAACTAGGAGATGAAGAAACCCCAAACGATCTTTCATATGCCGATAACAAGAGAACACCGGACAAGAAAAGAACACCATCCTGCAAATGTCTGGCAGTTTTCAAAGGGCAATTCTGAAGCACACAAATCACAATCAGTTTTTCTTGTAAAGGCAAGTAGCCCAAGTTCCATGATGCCTTGCAAAAAAGGGGGAGGGGGAGGGAAAAAGAAGAAGGCTGTAAAAGCTTGGTGCATGCATTTATGAAAGAGGCAAGAAGGTGAACTTCTGTAAAGAATGTAATAGGGACACACTTACACTATGACTCTGTCAAGGGAGGTCCTGCTGGACCTAGGTTCTTAACCCATCTAGACAGAATAGGAGGTTGGGAAGAAGGGAGCCACACACAATCCACCAGATGACAATGCTACTCAGGACAGACACCAGCATAGCTAGGAGACATCTAAAAAGGGGTGAGGGTGGGGAGGAAGAGATGGATATGAAATCAAAGGGGGAAATCAGGAACTCTTTTTTTAAAGAAATGAGTGGTACATTTCAGCCAGTTGCAGTTGCAAAAAGGAAAAAAGCTCTATCCATGTTCTTTGGTGCTGTGGGGGGGGGGGGAATCCCTTCCCTGTTCAAAGGCCATGCTGTATTTTCAGGGAGATTATTTTAACCTTCGTTTGATTTACAGGGTGAATCTAGGAAGGATTCTGCAAATCACTTTTCACCTCAAATACCCCAAACTCTGTCTTAGCTGGAAATTAACTGACAGATTTGTCCAAATGCCATTTAAGAATACAATTTAAGAGCCTGTGCATCAGGCCACTGGTCCATTTAGTCTAGCATCCTCACAGTGGTAACCAGGTACTTAGGTAAAGGTAAAGGTACCCCTGCCCGTACGGGCCAGTCTTGACAGACTCTAGGGTTGTGCGCCCATCTCACTCTATAGGCCGGGGGCCAGCGCTGTCCGGAGACACTTCCGGGTCACGTGGCCAGCCTGACATCGCTGCTCTGGCGAGCCAGAGCCGCACACAGAAACGCCGTTTACCTTCCCGCCAGTAAGTGGTCCCTATTTATCTACTTGCACCCGGGAGTGCTTTCGAACTGCTAGGTTGGCAGGCGCTGGGACCGAGCAACGGGAGCGCACCCCGCCGCGGGGATTCGAACCGCCAACCTTTCGATCGGCAAGCCCTAGGCGCTGAGGCTTTTACCCACAGCGCCACCCGCGTCCCAACCAGGTACTTATGGGAAGCTAAAAAGCAGGACCTGACTGCAATCTCCGCCCTTAAAAACACACAGACACAAAACCTTGTTCATAATATTGCATACCAATATTAAATGCTCTCTGTGGGAGGGTCCATCAATTCATAGCTGTCAACGTTTCCCTTTTTTTTAAGGGAAATTCCGTTATTCCGAATAGGATTCCTCATAAGAAAAGGGAAAAGTTGACAGCTATGCATCAATTAGGCTACATCTGCTTCACCAATATTTGGTCTGCCTGATCTAACAGCAACATCAGCATCAAAACACATACATACACACTTCAAACAAAACACACGGAGATGTGATGCTTGTCTACATTAAAATTATATTTTAAAAGTATTGCATACTTTTTACCCGTTATGCATTTTTTCTAACCATAATGCACATGCAAAGGAATTTCTTTCGGCCAAAAGCCTTCATACTCACACACACAAACACAGGGAACTGCTCCAGTAGCAGTTTCCCTAAAAGCATAAAGCAAGGAACTTCTAAGTTATGGGTAGGAAAACCAATCCTGGAAGGGCCTTGTTTTGTAGCAGTTTTGTTTTGAAAAATACACTGAAACAAAGAAGCTTTTAGGCATTGATGTAATGTTCGGTTTAGTAAGTGTTTTGTGATTTAGCCAATGAGCCTGATATGTTAGTAGATGTGGCAGAGAGGAGAATTTACTGATGATAAGGAAATGAGAAGATTTGGACATCAAGGTGGCAGCTAGTGGCAATGAATTAATTGTGTGCAACTTTTAGAGTACCTAAAAACATACTGAAGAAGTCAGTCTTTAAGAAAGAGACTTTTGCATTTACAGATGCAAAATGAAATTAACTTACGTTAGTGGAACTGAGTTTCCTTTTGACTGCCGTTTACTTTTCAGGGCACGAAGCTTATCTCCTTGCGTAACCGAGTGCATTTCTTCTTCATCATCACTGTACTGTAAATAAATGGTAAGTCATTGGAATAATTTATAGTATACTTCAAAGTCTTGATGCTGAAGCATAAAACTTGATGCATACCTGACCCCCAGTGAACTAATGAACTTTTCACCTAAAGTTGCAACAGATCTCATGAAAACATTTCTTTAGCATTTTGGTGCGTATCTGTTGTATTTTCTTGTTAACACAGGCATAAAAACCCACAGGAGGAACGCCCTCTCCACAGCAACAGAAACTTGTGTGTGTCTCTCTCTTCTGCTACTCAAAAAAGAATATCTAAGTTCAACTATATTATGCCCATACCTCACCTGTAGAATGTCCTTTCAATCCTGCTCATTCGTCACACATTTTTCCCTACTCTTAGGATGCTTTTCAGGAATAGGAATACAGAAGAGCATACAAAAAGAATCCAACCACTTTTGCTTTATTGTACCCACATTTAGCAACGCCCTAAGATTTACAACAGCACGACGTTCGGGTGATTACCGGTTCAGAATCTTTACCGCTGCCAATCTGACTTTTGGAGTCATGAATTGAAATGTCATCTACTCCTGAAAGAATTTTTGTAACAGTGTATTTTGCTGTCTTCCTTAGCTTTGCACGGAGAATATCACCTTCCAACCAAAGTTCTGACTGTTTCCTGTTACGGAGAGAAATTACAGTAGAAATTGCCAGTATCAATTTCTGACTACATTTATAAATCCAAATTCATAGGTTAAGCAGAGTCCAGTAGCAGGTGTGCCATCCTCTAATGTGGTACAAAATGGTCTCAATATAGTCATGTAAAATATTTATCGCATTGCATCCAACTATGCCCTTCCATTTGCAGAACTGCTTTGACCTAGCAGTGGTTTCCAGTAATTGGAAAATGAGGTTATTTTTGCCAATTCCTCCTCCTCTTCTCTGCAACACCCTCCCAATCAACAAAAAAAAAGCAATCTGCTCTGGAGGGTTGGTAGAATCTTTGGAACAGCATGGGAAGTAGTGTGGAGGGATGCCGGGGGAATCATTAAAAATTGTCTCCCTTACATTAGAGGAGTGGATCTCAGCTGAATCAAAAGCCCTTTTGTGAACAGAACAGATGGATGCAAACCAGAGCTGTTGTTTTTTTTTTAAAAAAAACAACAACTATAATTTTATTTCCACCTTGAAAGTTTTACTGAAAGGCAGGAGACAAACATTTCAGAGAGCTATTGCTGTTGTTTGTTTAAAACCATTAGACGTATTAGTAGATTAAAAAGTTGCTTTCAGTCTGCTGGCAGGCTTAATGAGTGCCGACTGAAGTCTTGCAGCGTACTAGTTTGTTATACTAATCTGATGCCAAGGCATCAATCAATATTGATATTTTAATCACCGCATTTTAGACATTTCATTGCTATGTCTTGTGCATGTTCTTCACCTTAAAAAACAATAGTTTCATTTCATTTTTGCATACACTTCAGTAGTAATTCATATAATGAAGTTTCTACCCAATTCTGTCCCATAGTCTATAATTTTGAGGTTGGGTTTTCTGTTTTTCTTCCCTTTTCTTTAAGGCTTAGTGAATGAGACTGTCCAGGCAGAATGTGTGCGCAACTGTATAGGCTCTGTGATTTCAGCTTCTGTTAGTAATGCACATTCAGCTGCTGAATTCTACTGCATACCCCGCAAGTGTCTCGGGGGGGGGGGAAGGGACATCCCATTTTTTCTCACGATAGAACAGTGGCCATTTGGGTTGCTGCAATGTTGTGCAATTTCATGGTGCAATTTTTCCCTGAAAAAGCACTTGGGGGGGGGGCTGCAATATTGCATGGTGCCCCAAAACATGGATTTTTGGGCACCGTGCCTGAAGAAAGCAGGGTTTTTTGGGGGGCCTGCAGCACAAAATCAGTTGAAAACTGCATGTTTTCCTCTTTGTGTGCAAAGCAGGAAGCTCTGTTGGCCACAGAGGCTTTTCCTGCTTGGCAGGGGGTTGGACTCGATGGCCCTTGTGGTCTCTTCCAACTCTATGATTCTATGATTCTATGAGATCACAGCAACCAAACTGGCTGGTGTGCTCTCACACAAAAAAGTGGGAAGATGGTGTCTGTAAAGAAGGCATCCCTGATTTGGGCTTCATAGTGTTGGAAGGTATGCTACTGATGGGAAAGCAAGTCAAAGACACACAGCTCTAACCAGATGCCGGTGATTGTAGGCTGCTTATACTGTAGTTTCCGATTTACGTGCAAAGCAGCAAGCAGCAGACCAAGCCAGCGGTCAGAATTACCAGTGTCTTCAGAAGGCACACAGCCAATGTGGGTAACTGCTGTTTTATAGTCCTAACTTCCTTTAACCTATGTTTAATATATCAGAAGGCAGAATGGTCATTACCAATTTGTGTGAGGCCAGGTCCCGGTCACAGCATGCAAATAATTAAATAGCTTCAGCACTGATTCAATCTTCTGGGTGGGAAATGGGTTTAAAGGCTTACTTACTCTAACAGGAAGTGCTGCTGTGCTCCAATCACAGAGCCAGGTCTGCAGATTCTAATCCAGGCAATCGCTTCAGCAGCAGTCATCCTATAATGCTTCATAATGTAACAGGCTATAAGTGTGCCAGTTCTGCCAAGTCCAGCTGCGTGGAACACAAATAAGCTCGTTCTTTTTTCTGGCTTTTGCAAGCAGATCCTCAGTCAGGCTTTATCATGCTTTTATGCTCCCTCTGCAAACCACAATTGCTTGGGCCCTACATTTCTTAGGCCAGGACTTCACAGAAAGGAACCCCAAGCACACCAGGCCATGTATCTGGTATGTGTGTGGGGGGGGGACACACACTATATAGCTCAGTCATACATCACATGTTCTACATGCAAAAGGTCCCAGGTTAAATCTCCAGCATTTCCAGTTAATAGGATCCATCGGGATGCAGATAATGAGGTTGCCCCTTCCAGCCACTGCCAGTCAGAGCAGACAGCCCTGGGCTAGATGCACCAATAGTCAGACTTGCTATGAGGCAGTTACCTATGTTCCTATTCTGGCTTGAGATAATACTCTTTTCTGTAACTGACAGTATCCTCTGTGGTCAGCTCAGAGTGCCCTGTTGATGTATTTTATAAACAAATTTAAACAGCAAATGTTTGAGCAGATCCAAGCCTGGATGAGGCTCCTCAACTTTCACCAATCTCTTCCAATGGTATGGAGATGCTCCCGAGCTGAGCCACCTGTGGCCCTCTGGGGAAATGGGGGGGGTACCCAATTTTCAACAACTCTGCTCCCTCCTAATCCCAAGTTGCTCACAGCTCACCCCATTCAGGAAGTGCTCACCAACCTGTTTGGATTCAACACACTGTATCTGTAATCAAAACTTTCTAAATTGCACCAAAGGCATACCTGGACATAAGGTGGCAGCCAAAAGTTTGTTCTGGATGGGATCTTTCAAAGTGAGCTTAGCTTTCAATATCCAGATTTGTAATATACAAAAAAGCAAACTGAAATATATCCATATGTTATTCTGTAAGGATGTTCACCTTTATCGTTACTTCTAAAGGCTTGAGCTGCACATTGTCACTTTTCTCCCATAAAAAACTTTCATAAGTTATCACTACCTCCTGGGTAACTTATGATGAGGCTTACCTGAAGCAGCTGGCCTTGCTGGGATGCTCTTTATTTGCTACACATTTATGCAGGTAACTTATTTATTTCACATTTGTGCTAATAATAATAATAATAATAATAATAATAATAATAATAATAATAATAATAATAATTTATTATTTGTACCCTGCCCATCTGGCTGGGTTTCCCCAGCCACTCTGGGCGGCTTCCAACAAAGATGAAAAATACACTAAAATGTCACATATTAAAAACTTCCCTGAACAGGGCTGCCTTCAGATGTCTTCTGAATGTCAGGTAGTTGTTTATTGCTTTGACATCTGATGGGAGGGCGTTCCACAGGGTGGGCGCCACTACCGAGAAGGCCCTCTGCCTGGTTCCCTGTAACTTGGCCTCTCGCAGTGAGGGAACCGCCAGAAGGCCCTCGGAACTGGACCTCAGTGTCCGGGCAGAACGATGGGGGAGGAGACGCTCCTTCAGATATACTGGACCGAGGCCGTTTAGTGCTTGTTACAGTTTAGTGGAACCACTGGAACACAGGCCGAAAGCAGAATCTTTAGAGGCTTACTGCTTCCATTTCTCTGTCTCTAACTAAACTATGTATGATTAGCAATATTCCACATGGAAGTTGGAAGTAGTAACCTAGCAAGAGGCCACAGCAGTTAGGGATGAGATGGAAGAAAAAGCAGACTTCCAACATTCTAATGAGAGAGATGTCAGAATCCTTGCAGTACAAATGATTTTTAAGAGAAATTGGTGTGATTTTGGTCAAATTGCTAAAAAAATAATCTGCGTAATGGCTGAACTAAGTGATGGTTAATAATGCATGCTGTAAGTGCTATCCCAAAAAGTTAGTGTCAATTACTTTAACGCATGATTCCTGTACCTTTGCAATGAACTGCTATAGCACCTTCGGCATTTTCACAAATACTTAGGAATGTTCTGACGATGGCATCATTAGGTATACTTCCATCAGCAAAGAAGAGCTCATAATGCTCAAACCCTGCATCTTTAAATCTCCTTGCATCATACACTCTCTTGTTTAGACGGATTATAGTGGTAACATTATGTCTTCTGAAGTAGGGAAAATAGGCCTCGGGGGCGTGGTGTGGGTAACCTGGAAGAAAGGAACCAATGAACATTTATGGTAGTGTAGAACAAAATATCAAGCAAGCCATCCAAAATACCCCACCAAAACCTATCAACCCAGCCTGTTTTCAAATACTGATTTCTATAGTTCAGCAATGTCCAACCGGGTGACCGTGATTGACAGGTAGATTCCAGGAAGATCACGGTTGGTCGCGGGATCCTTATCAATCGCAGGATTTAAAGCAATGCATAATGAATTTTTGCGCCCCCTGCCCCATTCCTACGTAGCTTCAAAAGGGCAATCGTTTCTAGTCTGCTGCTGATATTGGTTGTTTTGTGTGCTTGGTAGTGTTG